CGCTTAACCGACTAAGCCACCCAGGCGCCCCTAAATTTTTAAAAAGTTAACATATAATTTCATCTAAGAGGCGATTCCAACTTATATTTGATGCATTATATTTCTTATAGTAATTAGCACACTCTGTCTACAGACCCATCCAAAATATTTTATTAATGCATTTAAAATTGTTTAATTAACATTATTTGGGGTTTTTCAAAAAAAATTTTTTTTTAAATTTCTGAGAGAGAGAGACAGTGTGAGCAGGGGAGGGTCAGAGAGAGAGGGAGATACAGAATCTGAAGTAGGCTCCAGGCTCTGAGCTAGCTGTCAGCACAGAGCCCAACACGGGGCTCGAACCCACGAACTGTGAGATCATGATCTGAGCCGAAGTCAGATGCTCAACCGACTGAGCCACCCAGACGCCCCTACATTATTTGGTTTTAAGGATGTCAGCCACCCCTGGACATAACTAGAGACATTCTGCAATGATAGAAAACTACAGCTGCAGCTGTGATGGTACAGAGAAGGGCCAGGAGGCACTTTCAAAGGAGCGACAGCAGGGCGCCTGGGTGGCTCAGTCAGTTAAGCATTTTACTCTTGATTTTGGCTCAGGTCATCATGACCCTCAGGTTTCTGAGATCGAGCCCCACATTGGAGCCTGCTTGGGGTTCTCTCTCCCTCTCCCTCTCTCTCTGGCCCTTCTCATCAAGGCAGCGACAGCACAGTGACTTGCCAGCAAACTCTCCTTCCTGTGCCTATAACTGATTTGAATACATGAGAGCTCTCATAAAACTGAAATACAATGTGAGACAAAGTTAAGACATGTGAGTACACAGGAATCCAGTGCAGAGGTTTATATACAGATAGATGATTATATGGACGCCAAAGCTAGGAGAGATGATGGCCTAAGTCTATTTTGCAAAGGATACCACGGAGCAAAAGAGCCCAGTCAAGAGAATCCTTCACCTCAATATTTAATTCTGATGCCACCTTGCTTAAGTTGCAGCCCAACAGACACTACAGAAGATACTGAATACTAAAACTGACAAGAAAGGGAAAATGGCACCATTAAAGTCTTACCATTGAAGTAGAATTTCAGTCTATTGGCAAATACGTTGGTTGATGGGATATTCAGCTTTGAAGCAACATGCTCCACAATGCTCCTAAAGCCACCAGATATTAGGAAAACCTGAACATTTCGCTCTTGCAGGCGACTTACTAGCTCCCTGCAAAAAAGAAATGTGATATACCAGACACTGATTAATATAAAATAAAAAACATTAAACATGAAAAGGAAACTAAACATATTTTTCTCCTGAATGCATCTGCCCAAATACATCACACAAGGTATACTGCCTGGCAAATTATATTGTTTTATGAATGGGGAAGACGTGGGCAGAGCCAAGCAGCCAGACAAGACCACAGGCAAGAAGGAACCAAACAGAAGGGAGCACCAGCGAACAATGGTGAGATACTCTCAAGAGGACACGCCCCCAAACACAGGTGCTGATAGACAGCACCCAGACCGGGGCTCCTCTTACCTTATGCCAGGAGTCAGGTGAGGGGGGTGCTCTGCTATGAGCCTTTGTACCTGTTCCCTGGAGGGCTGGATCAGAGCTAAGCGCTCTGTGAGGGCAGCCTTGAAAGGCACGGCCCCACCCATGGCTCGCCGTGTCCTAGGAGGAAGACCCAACAGTCAGGCCAGCCAGGTCAGATGTCCCCCAAGTTTACACATCCAACCTCCCCAGCTCCTCCCAAGTCCACCCAGGAGAAAGGTGCTACCTAGAGCTCCACCATACAACACGCACGCTACAATGCCATGGCGCCAAGGCCTGGGAATAAACATATTGGAGATTTGCTTGGGAATCATACTAATATTTTGTGGCCACGTCTCACATCAAATGCAGCTAAACATGAAATGATCCGTGACCTAATGACTGCAGGCAGCAATGGGGAGGGCGGAAGGGAGGATCTCATCCAGGCGTAAACTGAGAGACTCTGAACCAAAACTAGCATTCTAGCAAACCACGGAGGCCATGCTTTCAACCAGGACACAAAGCACTGGATCCATGGTGGCCCCCCCACCCCATCATCGTCTTTGGCTAGTTACGGTCACTGTTCCTCTGACCGAGCTAAGCGTGTGTCATCCATATTTATTTGTCAGAGGCAACTATTTTTTTTTTGCCATAAATATTTCTAATAAATTGATGATTTGGATGATGTACACTACTGAATTCAGCTCTAAATGATGGAAGAAGCAGTTTACTGCCCATGATCTATAGCCAGGGACTAAAAATCAGGGAAATGTGGCTCTGGTCCTACATGTTCTTGAAAAGTCACTCTCTTCCGCAATTATTTGTCATTTCAAAAAGTGAATAAATATTGTTCCTACATTTCTGACACAGCATCCTCAACTCCACAGAATTTGGCTAGCTCATCAATTCCTTCTTCTCTGATAACTGTGCTATCAACATCAAAGCAGACTGCATCAGCTGAACAGAAAAGTTTCCTCAACTCTGAATGGGAGACCATCCTTGGAAGAACTGTCCTCCTACAACAGAAAAAAATAAATTTACTTAAAGGCTTATAATCATAAAAAGATCCAATTTTGCCTATTTATGCCAATATACTTTGATTCATATCAAAGTCGGTGTATCCCACATAAACATGGACTCACGGACTCATTTATTGTTTAATACAAAATAAGCACCTTCTAAATGCCAGGTCTCAGTGAGTGGGACCACACTCTTCTCCCAGGAACTCAGTCTAGTGATGGTATCAACTCATAAGTATATTTGATGTTCAACCATATTCCATGTTTTTGACCTAATAATTATGGCAATAAGGCAAATGCTAAAGTGGAAATGTGTATAAGATACTGTGGGCACACAGAGAAAATGTTTAACCTTGCCTATGCTATAGGGACTCCAAGGGACACAGTCATTGGAGCTGAATCTTGAAGAGTAAGTGGCCTGAGTGGGTTCTCGAAGGGCAGAGTATCAGCTTGGTGTCTGCTGGGCATGGGTGGAAGGGAGATGGAGGCAAGAAGAAGATGTAGTGATAGCAGAGAGAAGAGTAGGGCAAAGACAAAGAGGAAGAATGATGGACAGGGGTGCTGGGTGGCTCAGTTGGTTGAGCACTGGCTGACACTTGGCTCTGGCTCAGTTCATGATCCCAAGGTCATGGGATAAAGTCCTGCATCAGGCTCCACACTCAGCTTGGGATTCTCTCTCTCTGTCCCCCTGCCCCTCTCCCCTGTTCACAAGAATGCACTCACTCTCTGAAAAAAAAGGATGATGGATGACATGCTAGAAGCCTCCCAATGGAGTCCAGCTACCAGGTGGTGCACAAAGAGGGGCCATGGGCCACACTAAGGAGTTTGGATTTTAACCTCTAGGTAATAGAAAACCTGGAAAGGCTTTGGCCTCTGCAGAGAGGTCGGAGCTAAACTACACATCTATTAGTTACCAGGTGGTAATTGAGGGCATGGCCTGATGAAAGTCACCAGAGAGTGGAGAGAGGGAGAAAAGAAGAGGGCTGAGGATAGAGCCCGCAGGAATGGAAAGGGTCAGATCAGGAGCTTGGGAAAGAAAATGAAGAGGTCGAGACTCACAGGAAGAGCCTAGCCGACCACTGCTGCAGACGCTATGGAGGACAGAGTTTCAGAAGGAATTTTGAGGGTCTTTTATTTTTTAAGAAAACCACTGGACTAGAATCTTGAGGGTGAAGGGGATCCTAAAGGTCACCTAGACCAGTCTCCTATCAAATATGTCATGTATGAGGCCACACAGATGATGCAAATAACGTATTTAGAATAGACGCCAGCTAAAAACAGCCTCAAAGGAACTGGCCAACCTACTTCATAACTGATTTCTAACCAATGCATCTGCAAGAATGACCCAGGTCAAAGTTGGCCTGCGGGGGAAGAAGCCTTTTCAGTCAAGGGCTGGCAAACTAGAGCCAGTAAGCCAAATCAGCTGCGAGGAAAGACTAATTTTTACATTTTCAATCATTGAAAAAAAAATCATTTGTTTACGTGTCCATAGCTGCTTTCGCACGACAGAGGAGGCAAGTTGCTGGAACAGAGACTGCGTGGCCTGCAGAGCCTAAGAGATTTACTACCTGGCCTTTTAGAGAAAAATTGCTGACCCCCGTTTGTAACCCTTACAAACAAGTGCACCAAAGGGGAAACAGGAGTTTCAATGGCGACCCAGTAAGAAGGGGAAAGAGAAGGCAAATTAATGAATCCAGTAAGATAGTAGAGTAAACTAAACTAACAACAGCCTCAACGTGAAGTTTCCATTAAACAGGAAACTATTAAAAATACATGAATACTAAACATGTATGCTGTTGCTTATCTATAATCTCTTTTTCTGCCATCATCATGCTCCTGTTCAAGCAGAGCCCTCACCTCAGAGGACTGACTTCCCAGGTTCACATATCGTCCCCTCTTTGAACTGAGCTTCTTTGCTGGTTGCTTCTCTTCCATTCTCTTAACGATGCAATGACCCATGGTCCACCCCTGTCTTCTCTAACTCACTCACTCCCTCAGCAAATTCATCTGGCCTTGTGGCTTTAAATGTCATCTCTAGGACAGTGATTCCCAAATGTACACCTGGACCCCATGCGTCTCTCCCAAACTCTAAGCTCCAAGCACCTACCTGACCTCACTCAGGTGTCTCGTAAACATGTCTAAAACTGAACTCCTGATCTTCCGGTCCTCCGAAAACAGCCATTCTTGCACCTTCCTTTTCTCCCCAGATGGCAACTCCATTCTTCAGTTACCCTTGACATTCTTCTCTCAAAACCCACATCCAATCATTCAAGAAATTTGTTGGTTCCGCCTTGAAAGTCTAACCAAAATCTGACCACTTGTCACCCTACCCACTGCTATCGCTCTAGCCTGAGTTACCAATGTTTCTTGCCAAGACTGTACCAAGTGCCTCCTAAAAGGTCTCCCGTCCAAGTTTTTGTTCTCAACATAGCCAAAATGATCACTGTAACCTATAAACCAAGTCAAGTCACACTTCTAGCTCAAATTCCTTCAATGGTTCATTTTATTAAGAGTAAAAGCTGGGGCACCTGGGTGGGTTAAGTGTCGGTTAAGTGTCCGACTTCAGCTCAGGTCATGATCACATGGTTCATGGGTTCGAGCCCTGCATCGGGCTCTGTGCTGACAGCTAGATCAGAGCCTGGAGCCTACTTTGGATTCTGTGTCTCCCTCACTCTCTGCCTCTCCCCTGCTCATTCTGTCTCTCTCAGAAATAAATAAAACATTAAAAAAAAATTAAAAAAAAAAAAGAGTAAAAGCCAAAGTTCTTACAATCACCTATAAGTCCGGCCCCTCACCCTGGCACCACCACTGCCTCCCCCCATTATATCTCTGACCTCACTTCCTACTCCTCTCCCCCTTGCTCACTCTGCTCCAACCACACTGGTCCTCTTGCTATTCTGGAAATACACTAGGCAGGCTTCCCACTCGGCCTTTGCTCAGCTGTGCCTGTAGCGGGAATGCTCTTCACTTGGATACCCACTTGGCCAACTCCCTTATCAAGAGTAAAGAATAATGACTCTTTTAAAAAAAGTTTGCCCAGGGGCGCCTGGGTAGCTCAGTCGGTTAAGTGTCTGATTTTGGCTCAGGTCATGGTCTCGAGGCTCATGGGTTCGAGCCCCGCGTCGGGCTCTGTGCTGACAGCTCACAGCCTGGAGCCTGCTTCAGATTCTGTGTCTCCCTCTCTCTCTCTCTGCCCCTCCCCTGCTCACACTCTTTCTCGCTCACTTGCTATCTCACAAAAATGAATAAATATTTTTTAAAAAGTTTTTTTAAGTTTGCCCAAATATCACCTTCTTCCATGAGCCAACATTGACTACCCTGTTTATCACTGCAACCTCCCCTCCTTATCCTTAACCCAACCTTAGTAATCTCCCTCATTATGCCTTACTTTTTCTTTTTTCTGTAACATCTATCATCTTCTAATATATGATAAAATGTACTCATGAGGCATCTGGGTGGCTCAGTTGGTTAAGCATCCGACCTCAGCTCAGGTCATAAACTCACCGTTCATGAGTTCGAGTCTCTCTCTCTCCCTCTCTCAAAACAAACTTTAAAAAATGTACTTATTATGCTTATTATGTATTGTCTATCTGTCCTCATTAGGATGTAAATTTCATAAGAGGAGGCTCTTTATCAGCTTTGTTCACTGCTGAGTCCTTAGGAGTGAGAACAGTACCTATAGTACCTATAGTAGGGCTTAATAATATGTGTTGAATTAAGTGAAGGAATAAAGCTCAATGCCATCTTCACTATAAGATCTTCCCAGATTCCTTGGGGCTGGAAAAGATTTCTTCCTGGGGGCGCCTGGGTGGCTTAGTCGGTTAAGCATCCGGCTTTCGCTTAGGTCATGATCTCGCGGTTCGTGGGTTCGAGCCCCGCGTCGGGCTCTGTGCTGACTGTCAGCTCAGAGCCTGGAGCCTGTTTCAGTCTGTGACTCCCTCTCTCTCTGACCCTCCCCTGCTCACGCTGTCTCTCTCTCTCTCTCCTAGAAATAAATAAAACATTAAAAAAATTAAAAAAAAAAAAAAGATTTCTTCCTGAAATTTCCACAGTACTTTATGTAGACCTGTTTTCAATATATAAAATTCATAATGTTCCTACTTATCTTACACTTAGTTATGTGCATGTCACCTCCACTCCTGGACTGTAAGCTCTTTATACTGAGATCCAACATTTTCCAAGACCCCAATTTAAGCCTCTTTTGAGTAGATGCTCAATTGATTTCTGAAGGTTGAATGAATAAATGAAATGATATAATTGTGAATTACATACCCACAACTACTTAACTTTTTATTGTGCAGATGTCAAACACATACAAAAATAGAGAAAATGAATACGTGAATTCCATGTATGCATCATCCTGCCTCAACAGTCATAGCAAATCATGCCTCACCAACAACTCCACTAAAAAGGGGTCTGTACCCCCAATTCCAACATGGGTGGGTTCCCACACATTGAAGCAATTCTTAGACACCAGCAACGTGTTCCCTATAATTCAACTCTATTCTGACTTTATCTGCCCCACAGAGAGCATCAAATCCCACAGGCTAAGGGTACAGTTCCACAAGACTGAACTTTCCCCACACCCACACCTGCTCACCCCCCCATTCACACACACACATGTGCGCATGCATACACACGAATACACTTAAGACCTCAATGCCAAGTCCAGGTTGTCACCCATGCTTCTGACCAACTGGCTACAGATTGCAGGTTCCAACAACCCCCTCTTTGGGTTTGATTTATTTGCTAGAGTGGCTCATAGAACTCAGAGAAATATTCTACTTAGTAGGTCACCAGTGTATTATAAAAGGGCAGAATTCAGATGGAAGAGATGCATAGGACAAGGTTTGTGGGAAGGAGCACAGAGCTTTCATGCCCTCTCTGAACATCCCATTCTCCCCGCATCTCCATGTGTTCACCAACCCAATTCAGAAGCTCTCAAATCCCCATCCTTTGGATTTTTATTTGTTGCAAAGTCATGACTGATTAAATCATTGGCCATTGGTGACTGAGCTAGATTACCAGTCCTTCTCCCCTCCTTGGGGGTCAGGAGGGTGGCACTCAAAGTTCCAACTCTCCAGTCACCAAGGTTGGCTCTGCTGGCAAACAGCCCCATCCTTAGGTGAGGCCCAAAAGTCACCTCACTAACATAAAAAGAAACACCTTTATCACTCTCATCATAGGAAATCCCAAGGGTTTTAAGAGCTTGGAGCTAGAGATGAGGACAAGACCAAGTACGTTTCTTATTACAAATCATAATATCAAGCCCAAACACTTCCATCTTCCCTCATTATCTCAAACCATATCATGCCATTTCATCCAAAATATTTCAGTGTATATTTCTAAAAAGTAAAGACTTTTTTTAACATGGATATTACATTTTAATTTTAAATATACTACTATACCTGACTGTACTTAGGTTTGGCTTCTGAGGAATCTAGAATCAAATCAAGTTAAGATTTAATCATATCAGACCTAATGATGCTCTTACTAATCCATTCCCATCATTAGCATATACATTAACCTAATGTCTCTCTTATTCAATTAATTTATGCCCTTCATGATTTGGATCCTATCCATTTCATCAATCTATCCCCCATTGCTCTTCTTTCCCAAGAAATACATACACACACACACACACACACACACACACATATACACACAACTTATGCTTAAGGTATACAGAAGACATCTTGTTCCTTAAATATGTTAGTTTTTTAAACCTCTATGTGTTTATAAATGCTGATCCCTCTGCCTGAAATCACCTAAGCCTTTATAGCCAGTGGGCAAATTCCTATTTATTCTTCAAGATGCAGATTAAATAACCTTCCCTATACTATACTATCTCTCTCCTATCCACTCACATAATTAATTAGTTAATCACTCCCATTCCTCTCCTAAGATGGGAGTTCCTTCAGGGTAAGGACCTTGACTGAATTATGTTTCATCTCAATTTCCAGGACCCAGCAGGTACAAAATAAATATTTCATGAATTAAACAGAGTTGAATCTAAGAAGTTATAGAGTACTCAGCAAGAACTGAGTAGATTATTGTTCTCAATAAAACTATCCCAACTTAGAGCGCTATCAGCCTAAAATTAAAATCCTTAAGGTGCCTGGGTAGCTCAGTTGGTTATGTGTCTGACTCTTGATTTTGGCTCAGGTCACGATCTCATGGTTCATGAGAATGAGCCCCAAGTCAGGTTCTGCACTGAAAATGCAGAGCCTGCTTGCGATTCTCTCTCTCCCTCTTTCTCTGCTCCTCCCCTATTCGTGCTTGCTTGATCTCTCTCTCTCTCTCTCTCAAAATAAATAATTAAACTTAAAAAAATTAAATTAGGGGCACCTGGGTAGCTCAGTTAGTTGAGCATCCAAGCTCTTGATTTTGGCTTAGGTCATGATCTCAACAGTTCATTAATTTGAGCCCCACATAGGGCTCTGCAGTGACAACACGAAGCCTGCTTGGGATTCTCTCTTTCTCCCTCTCCCTTTGCCCCGCCCCCCCCCGTTCTCACTCTCTCAAAGTAAATAAATACAAACTTTATAAAAATCAAATCAAATCAAATCAAAATCCTTAACCAGCAATGATGGTTATAACCAATAAAACAGAATCAACATCATATATTCTGAAGTTGGAAGAAACCTCAAAGCCATCATTTGGGTCGGATCCCATGCCTTTCTGCATGAACGATATTAATGTATCCATTTCACAAATTAAGGACTAGAGGTATAAGGAACTTAAATGCTTTACCCAAGGTCACACAGCTCCCAAGTGATGGCTAAAAAACTAAAACTTGGATCTCAAATGCACAAAGACAAACAAGAGATGCAGATAAATTAAGCAGAACTAAATATGGTTAAACATTTGATAAGAACATATGTGTTTTCAAGAAATGTCAGAGATTTTCATCAAGAATTCAGACCAAAGTTCTGCTAGCTGGACACTACAATGGGTAATGATTCATTAACAGCAAAAGAAGAAAGTCTGCACATTCTTTGGGAGGCCAGTAGATAGAAACAGGTTTCATAAGTCATCAAATTTCCACCAACCCAGGAACATCAAGGATCTTCAGATCCCACTCTCTCTGTGACTCAGTAACCACCCATTTGGCTCTGGTCCAGAGAGAATCCATGCAATTCATATCACCTGGCTAGGCAGGCTCACTATACAAGCCTAGAAGACAGCAGTCTATCAGCAGAGGAGTGGTAGTAGCAATGCAATCCCATCAGCTTAGAGAACAAATCACATGCAAATGGAGGGAAAGCCAGGAGCAGACAAACAAGATTAAAGCTAAAAGAAGATAAATGGACCCAACTGGCTCCTGTAGCCTCAAAACCTGTTAAGACTAAAGCCAGTCCACACTGCCACCCAGTGCCTAAGGCTAATAAGACCTGAGAAGTACAGAACAGCCAGTCCACACTGCCACCCAGTGCCTAAGGCTAAGACCTGAGAAGTACGGAACGGGCATCATGTTCAAGAGGCTACCAGTCTCACTGAGATGATCAGACAAATCATTATTGTTCGTGTTTGAAAAGTCAGTGACTTGAGCCTCTTCCTGACCACTAATAATAGCAATGGCTTCAACAAGACCATCAGGCTCCGATATGAAAGAAAACACACATTTCCTCAAATAAAGTGAGGACTGATTTCCATACCCCCAGATGAACACTATTCCTGACTTAGGACTCAGAAGGGCCGATACCTGCTTCCTGGGTTGCGCTGTGTACCAAAGACAGAGAAAATAGGATGTTTGAAACAAAAGTTACATTGAATTTACTTGGAAGGCTGATTCTTTCTCCACACCCTCCCTAAAAGACACAGCTGGATTATGTATGTTACCTTCACTTTGCTTCACAGAATGCTCATGCCAGGGGACATGCTCTCCGCCCCTAGCATCACACAGATTTCAGCTCCCTACTGAGACTTTATAACAAATGGCCTTCACTATAAAATGCCCTGCCTCCTTGTTCACTTCTGGCTGCCTGTTTTTTCACAGTCTCTACCCAGAGTGGCTCACAATTCATACTTATTCAAATTTCTCATGGCTAAAGTGGGGGGGGGGCGCAGGGGGAGACAGTCTGCTAAGTTCAGGTGCTTCAAAGTAAACGGTGTACATTCGAATTTTACACACACAAAAATCATTGCTGAAGAATGAACTCTGGATCCCTCACATCTGACCTTTGGGGGGAAGGGGCACAAGGCTGGAGGTGGAAGAAATCCTGGTGGAGGGGTCAGTGCTTTGACATGGCAGCTCCCAAACCCAGGCCTGACCGATGAACCACTGCTCTTCCACGGGTCAGAACAGGTCTCCTGTCCGCATGGCCCCCAGCCGGTCCATCTTGGGGAAACATAGGGCTAAATGGTAAAGAAGCCTCTGCTGACAACCTCTTCTCCCTCCGCCCAGCTCCAAAAGTACAAAAGTAAGTTTTCCTTCAGGGCCAGCCTTGGGAGCTCTGGTTTTGAATAAGAGGGAAAAACCTCCCCACAAAAACTGTTTGAACTTCTCCATCTATGTATCTCATGAGAGGCACCCAAGAGCACCTTCACCAACTTATTCTTTTGTGAGGACTGACCTCTTAGCTTCACTTGTGTAAGAACAAATACAAGCTGGTACAGAAGTTGCAGAGGTCAGGCACATCCAAGAGAACAAAACTTACTAGGCTTAGACGGATGTCACCTTTGGTATGAGTGATGAGTCTGTTTCAGCCCCTCTGGGCACTGCAACAATGCACCAATGGAGCTTGAGAAGCTTCTGGATCAGTGGAGAGTCAAAGATCTTATATGTAAGCCTAGGGTTCCTGGCCAATGCAGTTATGATTTAAAAAAAAAAAAAAAAGGAACTGCTGTTCTGGGGAACCTGAGGCTTTACGCACCCCACATACATTACAGAGGACAATTTTATTCACATGAAGAGGAAACTGAAAACTGGTAAACAATTAACAACAAAAACCAAATCAGACTCACGTTTCTCCAGTACCGGATTCCTAGGAAATGACACTCTTCTCTTCCTGCTTCTTTCCTGAATAAGAATGCAGCATAAAGCTCTGACTACAATTTTCTTTATTAAGAGATCTTGGGAGTTCTGCAAGAGCAAGAGCCTAGAACGAGAAAAGAGGAAACGAACATCAAGGTTGAAATGAACATCAAGGTTGAGATACAAGAGAAGAAAGAAACTGTCTAGCTTCACTCTCCCAGCTCGTAGGACTGGTACAAAGAAGGGTCGGATGCAAAGTTCCCTAAGACTGCTTCCCTTGCGGGATGCTGGACTTCTGCCTCTTTCAGCAGTGCAGAGGACTACACACACTTTTCTCTGGCTCTGATTCGCAAAAGCTTCAGGTCTGACGGGAAATCACCTACACCTGATTAGCAGAACACAGAGGCGAGGGAAGGGAAGAGGATCCACTGAGAGAACAAAATGCAAACACAGAGAAGCTGACTCAGGTACATTAACAGACGCAGCTATCTTCAAAATGAGGAGACAGAATCGCCAACCTTCCAAGAACAGTCACAGAAGAGTCTGGCTGCCCAATAATAAGGGAACAAAGCCAACGATTCTGAATTAAAATCCTCATAATCAAAACTGTAAACAGAAGTATCTCGGTTGAGTAACCGAGTATCTTGGTTGACCTTGATTTTGGCTCAGGTCAGGATCTCACAGTTGGCAGGATCGAGCCCCGAGTCAGGTTCTGCACTGATAATGCAGAGCCTGCTTAGGATTCTCTCTCCCTCTCTCTCTGCCTCTCCCCCCATTCGCATGCACACACGCTCACACACACTCTCTCTCAAAATAAATAAACATTTAAAAAAATAACCTCATCGTTTAAAAAAAGTAGACAACAGTGCTAAATCTCAGAAGAAAACAAGATAAAAGAAATACTATGAGGCAAGAAGAAGCAAAGAGATTGAAAAGGAAGGCTCAAAATACAGAAGGTTCAAAATACAGTCCTTTTGAACTCAAAAAGGGTTATGTACCCTTTCTCTCATCCAAGTTTTTGAGTTAATTTCAAAAACAGAAAGGAATGTGGCTTCCATCTTGCCCCCAGATTCCCCCTTGCTCTATGTTGCTCTATGTTCCCCCTTGCTGCCATGTTGGTAGCTGCCCTGTGGGGAGGCCTGTGTGGCAGCACTGAAGGGGTCCCCAGCAAAAACACCCAGAAAGGAACTGAGGCCCTCAGTCCGACAACCCTCAAGGAACTGAATCCTGCCAACAGCTATGTTAGCAGGCTAGGAAGCCGATCTTCTCCAATACAGCATTAGGTAAGTTCACCTTGGCCAACTGTGACCTCTTAAAAGAATCAGAACCACTCAACTAAGCTGCTCCCAGATTTTTAACCCACAGAAACTGAGAAAATAAATATTTGTTGTTTTAAGCTGCTAAGTTCGGGGGTAATTTGTTATACAGCAATAGGTAGGTAATACACAACAGCTTTGAGGTAGGCAAAACTTTCTTAAAACCCCAAAAGCATGAACAATGAAAGGAAAACGTGATCGAATGGACTTCATCAAGATTAAAGCTCTTCAAAAGATACCATGATGGAAAAAAAGAAAAAAGAAAAAGAAAAGGCGAGCCACAGAATGGGAAAAAATGTTTACAGTATGCACATTTGACAAAACTTGTATCGAGAATAAAGAACTCTGACAACTCAGTAATAACACAAATAACTTATTAAAGTATGAGCAAAACATATGAACAGACATTCCAAAAAAGAAGATATGCAGATAAACTCAAAAGGTAAATGACGAAAAAAACACCACACACACCAGGTATTGGTGTGGACATGGAACAAACAACCAGAACTCTCACACACTGCTGGTGGGGACAGAAAATGGTATGACCATTTTGGAAAACGTTTTGGCAGCTTCTTATAAAGTTAAACACATATCTACCATAAGACTCAACAATCCCACCCTGGGGATTTATCCAAGAGAAATAGAAGAGCACTTGATTCATGAAAGCCCCAAACCAGAGTGTCCATCAACAGATAAATGGATGAGCAAATTGTGGTCTATCCCTACAATGGAATGCTACTCAGCAACAAAAAGGAATTAGTGCTGCATGCCAAAACCGTGGATAAATATAAAAAGCCTTTTATACCAAAAGAAGGCAGACACAAAACAACATGATTCCATTTATACGAAACACTAGAAAATACAAACAAATGATACAATGACAAAAATCAGGTCAGTAGGGCTAGGGGTGGGGGAACCTGGCTGCAAAGAGGCCTTAGGAAATTTTCAGGGGTAATGGAAGTGTTATACTGTGCTGGTGATTAAAAGTGTGTACGCAATTGTCAAAATTAATCAAAATGTGTACACCTAAAATGGGTGTATATTATTGCACTGAATTATACATCAAGAAAACGTTAGCTTTTAAAAAGTCATTAGGCATGCATCAAATTATCTGAAAACGTAAAATGTCCTGACTGCTTTATTTCAGCAACATGAAAGTGACAGCACTGTTATTATATTGAAAACCTACCAGGTAGTTGTAATAAAATCTAGAAATCCTGCATTTTATCATTTTCTTCCTTGATCCTCATTCCAATACCGGTCAGTCAAATATTTAAAGAATAACTACAATGTGCAAGTCACTTATAATGAAAACATAGTCGACAAACTTAATGAAAGAATTATTTATTTAATTCCCAACTGGAAGTTGTATCTTTACAACAATGTATCCGGTACGTGCTTACTTAAAATTCTAAATCTGATAGGAGAGAAGATGACAAAGTCAAACAGAGAGAAGATGACAAAGTCAAACACTGCAACACTAAATTTCGGAGATTTTCCTAATCTTGTACTGATGATTCCCCTACGCAGGATTGCATCATTCATTCATGCCGTTTGGTAACACTGACATAAAACAAGGGAAAACTACTCAAAAGTAAATTGAGGAAAAAGAAAGTCTTGAAATCCCGTAAACCATTTTACCTACCCCGGTTAAGAAAAACACACGTAGAATCTGAGGCCCTGGATGTGGAAAAGAAAGGCGGGTAAATCATAAAGTTGGGCACACGGAGCGATCAACACATGCCCGGACTCACCCGGGCGGGCGCTGCTGCTCCTTCCTGGGCCGCCGCCACCGCCTCTCGCGCTCCCCCGGCTGTAACCTTCCGACTGCAGGGGGGCCGAGCGGCGGCTCCGGCTCCGACGTTCAGTCGCCGAGCTCCGAGGGAGGTGACCTGTGCAGACCCGCAGAGTTTTTACCAAACAATCATAAGAGATCTGCTGATGAGTACGGTGGCTTCTGGTAGGTTTTGCATAGGCTTTTCTAAACGGGAGACCACAGATTCACACTCCGCACAGAGGAGCTGCAGAGAAGCCCTTGGCCCCGCCCCTGGGCGGGGCTTCCTGCGCCCGCCCCTCCCCCCTGCGGGGGCTCAGCGCCTGCGGCCCTTGACTTGCAGCGCGAGGTGGGCGTTTTCCCGCAGAGCCGCCTCCACTTCGAGGAGGAGGGGCTAGAGCGGGGGCCACCTTGAGAAGCCCTCCGCGCCGCCCGCGCTTGGGAGGAGGGCAGTGACAGAAGCCGGGGACCTCTGCGCTAATTTTGCAATTACCGAAAGCACCTTCGAAAGCTCCTTCGGGACCTTTTTTGGAACCGCGTTTGACCTTACGCTCTTGTAGCAATGTAGGTCTCAAGAGAATTTCGTAACGACTTATATTCGTATTATATGTCAATTACACTTCAGTTAAAGATATATGTATTACCTAAAGCAAAACTACTTATATTCGCAACTAAAATATAAAAAAAAACATGAGTACAAAATGAGTCTTCACTTTTTTTTCTTGTCATCTGACTTTCTTCTGGGTGTCACTTGCCGAGCTCCTTTTAAGTTACCTATAATAAATAAGGGGTGAGCACCTCCAAACATTTACCTTTGGCTCAACTGGCTGGAGGGGCCCAGTGAGGCCCCACCCGAGAACACAGGCTGAAACCTCAGATGCTGATAGTTCTGCAGGCTCCTTCCAAGCAGTCACTCAGGCAGAGGGGACACAACTGCTGGAGCGGGACACGGTCACAGCATCCCTGCCCGTCGCTACAGAACCTCTCAACACGATTCTATCCAGAAGCAAGAGTGCTGCTGTTCTTTGCCCAGTTGGGCCCTTGAAGTTCAGTATTTTCAGATTTCATTTGTTAAGAAACATTGTGCCAACGTATAGGAGGATTAGGAGGAACTTAACAGAGGACCAAGGGGGAGAAGAAGGGGGGAAATGGTGGGGGAAAGGGAGAGAGGCAAACCGTGAGAGACTCTTGAATGCTGACAAAAACTGAGGACTGATGGATGTAGGGGGGAGAAGGGATGGGCATGGAGGAGGGCACTCGTGGGGATGAGCACTGGGTGTTATGTGGAAACTAATTTGACAATAAACTATTTGTAAAAAAAAAAAAAGAAGAAAAGAAAAAAAAAGAAACATTGTGCCAAAACAGGTTTGGGGCAACGTGGCTTAATTTCTCCCAGATCTGCCAGAGATTGGTTCTGAAGAAGAACGGAGAGGAGGAATTTTGATGTTTTGCAAGATGAGGTAAAAAAAAAAAATGATACAATTAATGGTGGAGGGCAAAATAAGGGGCCCTAAAACAACAATCCAGTCAAGAACCTGTTTCTGTTCTGTGGTATGTAATTTAGAAATAAGTATAGCAAAAGAAACAAGATGTTAAACACCAAATATTTGTTCTCTCTCTCAAAAAAAATAATTAAACATAAATTTAAAACAAAATTTTTAAACACCAAGTATTTGTATATAAGTATAAATGGTAATTGAGTATTTCTAGGGGAAAAGAAACCCAAGTAAAATAATGTAAAAAGTAGAATTAATTTCTGCTATTATTCATATTTCATAGATGTTTAAAATTAAACACATTTCAAATAAAATATTCGTACTGAATAAATAAAACCTGTAACTACTCATAGTCTCTCACATTCACACCTGTAATAACACTTGTGGTCATGAGGTGGCAGTGTTGTACACACAAACCACATAAAATTTTTTTTAAAAGTCCAGAGGAAGCTAATGGATAGTCCCAGATACATAATCAAGTAATGGACGAGGCATAACTATACAAATAGATTATAATATGCTTCATTGTTGTTCTTCTGGAATAATGTTAAATAGCACATGTGAACCAAATATAATGCAGTATAATAAAAACAGCAAATTATTTGCAAAGTTTTAATCATAATTGGTTAGTAAAAAGCAATACAGGTTATACTAGTAGTGTTCCTGAGAGGTTTCCTATAGATCACATTTTTATAAGCTAACATATTGTCTGATGATTAACTATGTTAGAATCATGTACTTTTTGAAAAAATAATTCGGTGCTACTAAATAGGCTTCTAATATTTTAGAATATTTAGAAATATCTAATATTTTAGAGTAAATTGGATCACTCTAGAATACAATATGATATTCGGTAACAAGGAACATGCACATTTTTTATGATCCAGAAATTCCACCTCAGAAATGCACTCAGAAGAAACTCTCGCACATAATTGGTAGGAGTCACATATAAGAATGTTCACAATAAAACTGTATACATATAGTCATTGTCAGAAACTTAAAAAAGAGTATCATTTAATATCATAAGTGATAACTTACAACATAAAATTCAGGATGGTCTTTACCTCTGGATACAAGAAAGAAAATGAGACTGAGAAGAGATTATAGAGTTATGTAATGGTAGTGATATACAGGAAATTTTTGTATCTGTGTATATATATATAATATTTTGTGATGCACATAATATTTTTATATCAACACATTAAATACCAAAACATAAAAATATATAAATGTTTTAAAAGAATATATTAAAGAAAAATACAGTTTAATGTCAACATTAAAATAACATTCAAAATAAGTCACAGCATGGAAATATGTCTATGATATGTCCTGTGAATGAAGCAGGCTGTAGAACAATATATATTGTTTGATTCTCATTTCTTTTTTTTTTATTTTTTTTAACGTTTATTTATTTTTGAGACAGAGAGAGACAGAGCACGAGCTGGGAAGGGGCAGAGAGAGAGGGAGACACAGAATCTGAAACAGGCTCCAGGCTCCGAGCTGTCAGCACAGAGTCTGACGCGAGGCTCGAACCCAAGGACTGTGAGATCATGACCTGAGCCAAAGTTGGCCGCCCAACTAACTGAGCCATCCAGTCGTCCCTCTCATTTCTGAAAGAAGAAAAACTCTGTGTATGTCAATAGTAATTGTGGGTAGCAATTAATCACGGGGAGTAAAAGGAGTGAAAAATTTACCTTTCTACTTTATTTGGTTTCATAGTAGTTGAGATTAGTTTAAAAACATTTATTACTTTTCTAATGATTTGCATATCAGTTAAAACTAAATGCTTTAGGAGTGGGGAAGGGTGAAATAGGTGAAGGTGGCCGAAAGGTACAAATTTCCAGTTATAAAATAAATAAGTTGTGGGCACGTAATCAAAATAGAAAAAACTGAGGGTGTTTTTTTTCTTCCTATATAAGGAAAAAGTCAATTCCTTCCTCCTTTGTTGTCTTTTACTATTTACTCTAAACACTTGACTTCTAGTCATCAAATGTGGAAGTTTTACCCCACATCAAACAATTCTCTGCAACACTAGCTGGGTACCCTATAATTTAACTCAATTCTGACACCATCTTCTCAAAGCATAATATCCCACAGGTTAAGAACTCAGTCCCACAAGGCTGCACACCCGTGCCCCCCCCTCCCCCCTTCAGATACCAGTGGCAAACTCAGGTTATCGTTTGTACTTCTGACCAATTGGCTATAGATAAGAGGGTCCAACGCCTAACCCCACTGCCCCTCTCCAGCTCCCCCCAACCCTCCTTAGGTTTAATTAATTTGCTAAAGCAGCTCACAGAACTCAAGAAAACACTAATATTTTCTAGCTTACTACAGGACACAGATGAACAACCAGATGAAGAGATACATAGTGTGAAGTCTGGGAGGGTCCCAAGCACAGGAGCTTCTTTTCCTATACAGTTGGGTGTATCACCCTCCCAGTGTGGATCTGTTCACCAACATGGAAGCTTTGAACCCAGTACTTTGGGGATTTTATGGCAGTTTCATACATAAGCATGACCAATCATTAATTCCATTTTCAGTCCTTCTCTCTTCTCAAGAGAATGAGGGACAAGGCCGAAAATTCCAAGCTTCTCTTTTTTTTAATTTTTTAAATTTATTTTTGAGAGAGAGAGATAGAAAGAGAGAGAGTGCAAGTGAGCAAGGGAGCAAGGGAGGGTCAGAGAGAGAGGAAGACACAGAATCTGAATCAGGCTCCAGGCTCTGAGCTGTCACCACAGAGCCTGATGCGGGGCTCGAACCCATGAACCATGAGATCATGACCTGGCCAAAGTCAGATGCTCAACCAACTGAGCCACCCAGGCGCCCCTGAAAATGCCAGGCTTCTAGTCATGAATCAGTCTTCCCTGTGACTAGGTCTCATCCAGAAGCCCACCCAGAGTTACTCAGTTAGAACAAAAGACAAAAAACTCCTAGGGTTTTAGGAGCCCTGTGTCAGAAATAGAAGTCAAACACCAATATTAGAACTGAAGATGCTCCTCGTGCTCTTAGGAAATAACGAAGTTTTTAAAAAAAATTTTAATGTCTATTTTTTGAGAGCAGGGGGAGGGGCAAAGAGAGAGGGAGACACAGAACCTGAAGGAAACTCCATTCTCTGGGCTGTCAGCACAGAGTCCAACATGGGGCTCAAACCCGCAAACCATGAGATCATGACTTGAGCTGAAGTCGGATGCTTTACTGACTGAACCACCCTGGCACCTCAGGAAATAACAAGGTTTTAGGAGCTTGTGCTAGGAACCAGGAGCAGAAACCAATATAACTTACTGTAATGTATAACATGGTAACTACAGTTAATACTGAATTGCATTTTTGAAAGTTGCTAAAAAGAGATCTTAAAAGTTCTCATCATAATAAAAAATTATAACTATGTAATGGTGATGGATATTAAGTAGATTTATTGTAGTGATCATTTCACAATATAAATGCCTCATATTACTAAGATAAATGATTAAATATCAAAAAAGTTACCTAGTGGAGCCTGGGTCGCTCAGTCAGTTAAGCATCTGACTTTGGCTCGGGTCATAATCTCATGGCTCATGAGTTCAAGCCCCGCTCCAGGCTCTGTGCTAACAGCTCAGAGACTGAAGCCTGCTTCGGATTCCGTGTCTCCTTCTCTCTATGCCCCTCCACTGCTCGTGCTCTGACTCTCTCTCTCTCAAAAATAAATAAACATTTAAAAAATGTATTTAAAGTTATCTGAAGTTTCCAACTAGTCAGCCAAT